TTTTTTGACACTTCCACATTAAACCGTATATTGCATATTATCATGCAATAGTTAAGAGGTCTTTAAGCGAAGCCCAGGGATACACTCTATTTTCAAGCATCACCCTTAAGATCAGTGAAGCTAGTGAAGGCCTGAGAAACTGATGTTAATGATCTGTTTTTTTATTATCACTTAGTCACATTTCTACTAGCAGAAGCTAACAGTGGTATTAATCCATCGATCATCACCTGAAGCTTCAATAAGCTTACTGATTTCAACGTTAGCATCATCGTTGCCCGTTGTACTCCAAATTCTACAATATGATATTAGTTGCTGACTCGCACGAGTTCTTTGTGACATATTATTAGATTTTGACAAATGATCCATTGCCGGTAGACCGGTTCCATCTTATTTTTATTCGCTTAAGGGAGACCCCCTCAGAAATGATTTCCCACTTAGAATGGGTCTTTCGAGCTGGAACTTCCAGGGATGAGTGATACTGGAGATATACGCCTCTGGTAAAAATTTCAGCCCAATTGACCATACTAGACCGGAGTTTCAGCTGAATCATAGGTCATTTTTGGTCTTCAGGAAGATCGATATAACTTCATTATGATACGAGGTATCGAGCTCGGGCTGATCTCAAATTAAAGCTAATGTTAGTACGCAACTTTTGTCCGAACAGAATTTTTAAATTCAATGTTACTGATTTTTTATGACCATTTTAGTGGAAGGGTCTAAAAATTAGCTTAAAAAATGGTAGTCTAATGACAGTAAATTCCACTTTTCTCATCGCAGAAATCGATTTTCAAAAACTGGTCAGAGAAAACTTTGCTCTTCTCGAGACCTTTAAAACAAAAAAAAATTATTGGATATTGCGCAAGCCGAACGGGAGTTATTTCAATTTTTCTGATTGGAAACTGTATTTTGAGAAAAACGTTAAAGACGTTTTAGAAATCATTTTTTTATTCAAATTCGAAAAAAAGATATTAAAATGGTATGTTTTCAAAATATTTCAGTAGACTTCTTTGCAACACATAACAGATAGCATTAAGTAACGTAATCTATCATGTTGCTGGAAAATTTTTGCTCTCTTTCGGATGACTCACGTACTTTAATACTATAGTATTTTGTAGATATGAAGATTCATATGGTTCTCTCGACTAACTGAAAAACCTGAAAGTTTTTGGGCAAAGATGAATAAGCCGTTAAAATCAAATTATTCTCAGCCAAACTCACATTCTCTCAGGGATAAAAGATCATCACTTCTTTTTTTTTTTGCTAGATTTTTTATTTGTTCAACATTTGTATTTTCTTCTATGACACCTAAATCTCACACCCACATCCGCGCCCTACTTGCACTATAAATCATCAGTGGTGAAGATAAAACACAAATATATAATCTTATCCTGAGCGTTGGTATGAGCTTAGTGGTCACTATAAAAGTATTCTATTCAATGCTGCCCAATGTGGCAATGCAGTTTTCTCGAAACTGAAAAACTTGAAAAATCTCAAAAATTTTGGTGAAACATGATGGTAGGGTGATTAAGTTTCTGACCGATAAGCCCATGAAAATCTGGTCGTTTTGCAAAAAACTACCTATATTCTAAAAGAGGAAACTTCGGTGCATCTTCCTATGTAAAAAACTCAATTTTGATTTTTTTTCGAAAAATTGAGTTTTTTAAGGGGGCCCCTTAAGGAGATTTTCCTAGATGCATTTGTTAACACTCAACACAAATCTAGTTTCGATTTTTTTATTTTTTGCAGAGTTTCAAGAAGAAAAATTCAAGATAATGAATGCAGTATTAGTATTGATGATTGGCTGTAGCGGAAAACAAACTGACGCATCACTCCTTAGAATTCTGTATTTTTCCCCTGAAGCGTGTAAATCTTGAGTTCCTCGTATGAAATTGGATCTGGAAATATTATTTGGCACCTGATCAGTTACTGTGTGTTCATTTCATGAACTACTAAATAGAACATGATTACAGATGGTTTTACTCGATAATCTTGTAAACCTATCTAGTCTTTTCTCGCGAGCTTTAAAAATCTCGTTTGTCCCTTATTCTAACGTTTATTGAACAGGCTGTAAAAGTATGCACAGTTTATGGCGACATCGTTTTCTTGCGTTGAGAAAATATGACTACATTAACAAAAACTTACAGTTTTTGACTACTGAATACTCAAAAGGTGATACGAAAACTCCAAGGTTCATGGAAGAAAATATATAATCATAATCACCATGAAAACCTGAGTCGACTTATGTGTATTTCAAATCTTTCCGCAAACTTTTTTCCTCATCGTAAGATCTATCTGAAGTCTCATCCTCAGGTAACAATTGGAAAAATGAAAATAATCCAAAGCCGATTAATAGAGGAAAAGTAATTATAGAATGTGAGAACTCCAACACAAGAACAGACAGCGTACCAAAATAAACCAGTATAACAGAATTTTAGGCGTTTTCATTTTTCCAACTGTGACCTCATGGAGAGACTTTAGCTAACATATGCGTAATGCAAAATTCAAGCAGTTTGATTTTTTTTCTCAAATGAAGTACCATTCGATGCAGTTTTTCACGCTGATCGCGAATGTCCGTTTTGTTTTTCATTTTCATAGATGACACCTTGAAAAAAATTCCGAACAATTATTTGCACTAAAAATCGTCAAAAACGGTATTTTCTCAAACCTCCCGCTTAATCCTTTTCCATTTCAGATCCACTATTGTTTTACGTATAATATTCGTATTCACCATGAAAAATTGTATCTGGAAAGTGTTTTTTAAAGGTTTACCATACAAAAAAGCTGCATGCTTTTTATGCAAATACCAAATAGGCACAAACTCATCATTCGCAAGAGCTTTCCAAAAGCGATCTAGTTTTTAATAATCACTCCTATCCAACTCATTCTTTATCTAGCGCGACCCTAACGTGTTGTACCACATAACTATGCATACGTTTCTTTCAATTTTGGTTCTCTTTTTAAGACAAGCTACTTTCTCTTAATCGTTTACATCGAAATCGGACTTTCGAAAAAGTTTCCTCTTTTTTCACGCTCTTCACATTTTATCCACAGGAAACAAATATCATATTCAGAATCAGCTTGAACAATTGCATCGATTCATATAGAAACTTCTGTGTTTTAAGTATCTTGATTTCTTTCGAAATATCAGCCAAGACACATTGTCTTGAAAAATAGCAATAATCATGAAAAAGTATAAGTAATGCAAACCTTCTGTCAAAAGCGTCAACTGAAACAATTTGGAGAGCTGATTCTGACTATGTTGTTCGTTGTATATGAAAGAAATGTAAATAGTGCAAAAAGAAAGAGCAAACTTTTACCGAAGTCCGATTTTGCTGTAAAACAATTAAAGAAAACTGTTTCTTTCTAAAGAAGTGAAGAGAAATAAAAAAACCAATACACACATTTTTGGTGCAACATGTATGGATTGCAACAGATAAAGAATAAATTCGATACGAAGGATCATAAAAACCAAGATAGATCTTGAAAAGGTTCTACGAGTTATGAGTACATGCCCGTTTCGTCCATCCTTAAACAGTATACAGTGTTTATACGGTAAACTTCAAAAACATGCGTTTCATACCTAAATTTTCCTCAATAAATCGAAAATTAATATGAAAAACAATACAGGGTGTCAACTTAAAAAAGAATTTTATCAAGATATTTTACAAAATATCATTGTAGACAATTTTTATTTCAAGTTGTTCTTCGGCATCTTTTCCCAAATATTTTGCCTATGAAAATGGAAAACTACATATATAGTCGTAATCAGCGTGAAAAATTGCATCGAATGGGGTTCCTTTTAGTGCAAAATTCAAACTACTCAAGTTTTGTAATACGTGCATTTTACCTTTCAACTGTATTAAGATAGCCTTGACAAGATCACCAAACTATATCGAAGCAGTCGATTAAAATTTAGATTTTCGATTTAACATGTGGATTCAACAGACTAATGTTCAAAAGTAATAATCGAAAATTTTCAGTTTATTTGGATCTTTTATGACAAAAGAAAAGTTAGATGTGCTGTACTTATAGCTAACTCAACCTAATATTTACACAAGTAGCGTTAAATTGTTGCATTAATGTTAACTCAAATTTAATGACCAGAAGTACATGAATTTTCACACATTATATATCAAATGATAAAAAGTAGAGAAATGAAAAAAAAAACTAGTAATTTAAAATATTCTATGTTGTGAATTTACTAAACTTAAATAATGAAGGAAGTGAGATGAGCAGCCTTTTATAGTTTCTGTGACTTGGAGATATATCTGTTTCCATTTTATCAAATTGTGAGACTTCAGAGTGAACTTTACATATATCGTATAACTTTTTGTCCTCTAGAAAACGGTAAAAAAGTATGGAAAACAAACCTATAATGTTGAGCAGAAATGGGTAATACTGTCAAAAGTGAGGTAAAAATTCTAGAGAAAAGAAGACACTTAATGGGTCACCGAAGGCTTCTATTCATTAGAATGAAACGCCTATCGAAATCGGATTCGATGCTGAGTTAAATGATATCGATTGCTCTTTCCGAAAACGGAAAAACCTTTTTGCTCTCCCAAATCCATGATGGGAAGTATGGGTATTTCGATACTTTGTTTTGTTTTTGCCAAATTGAGAGATAACCAATCGGAAGCATAGCGATGACGTTACATATCAGAAAACACTTCAATTGATA